TGAGTGAGTTTTATGACCACTGGGCCTGTAAGGAAAAGCATCCTTTTCTTCCTTCCTCAAAATCTCTACAGATATGCAGCTTCTGTCCGACAACAGCAATACACGCCAAGAGATTAACTCGTAGCCCAACTTCCCTGTGAGAAGCTTGTAAAACCAGAAGAGTATGGAGCGTGATAGATCCCAGACCTGCCACACTAGTGCTGCTGTTCTCTAACAAAAAACTTCTCCTCCCCCTGAAAGAGACATGGAAAACACTTTACTTCTTTACATCCTGAAATATACACAGCATCAAACCCTCAACCTTTCACACATTTGTTTCCAGGGTGTTCATTTGTCGTGAAAGACGACATAAAGAGTTCATAAAAAGCTCCATAAACCTCTAAAATATCTGCACTTGTGTACTTACAAGGATGTAAAATGCAAACAATTACATGTCACAATTAGTGTTTTTATGTGTTGTTCCACCCTCAATTTATATCAACAGGATGGGAAGCACCTATTATTTAGCCACCAGACACACTGACACTGAGACTCACTAGTTATTGCTCATATGCTGGATACCTGCCACTCATTAGTCGTGTTGCTTTTTGAAGTATTGCATAATATTTCAGTTTTTTTTTTATTAATAATTTCAAGCAAAATGTCATACCATAATTAGTCAGTAAAGTTTTTGTTTGACATAGAGAGTTTTTTTTTTACATACCATTTTGCCCACATTTACCATATTGTATGTCAGTATTGGAAAAAATGTAACATAATGAGATTTTGACCATATTTCCCAGCTCTAACTCAGACATAAAAACATATCCATTTAGCCTCTCACTGTTATCTTTGATGAATAATGCTGGCTGAAAGCAGTATTTGCTTACTGTGTGTGGAAATAAAGCGGTACATGATTTAAAGCAGAGCGAGTTAGTTTGTTTGACCACTCGCCGACATTAAGCAAGCTCATCCCAGTAGTTCCTGGGCTATCAGAGTGCCACCTTCAGGGCAGGGAGTCATGGGGGGCGAGCAACTATGGTAAAGATACTGAATGTAAAACCTGATTCCTCCAGTTGAAACACAGTTAAGGTTCCTGAATTCCTTAAAAGAGTCCTGAGTTCCTGGAAAGGTTCTTGTGGTGGAAATGGGCGATTAGTGTTGATGTAGTCTGAGTCAGACAGCTGGGTCTAACTTCCCCCATCTCCTCCCCCTCATAGCCTCTCAGTGCCAGACCTGCCGGCTGCAGGGGGCTTTAACCTCAGGACCGCAGGGGGCCCCCGCCTCCCGTCTGCAGCCGGTCTGAAGGCAGGAGGACGCTGAGATGATGTGAAGAAGCAGCTCCATCCATCACAGTGAGGAAGAGTCATCTGTTCACCTGGTTTCACCTCTTCCTCCTTGTTTTAAATCCATTTCCAACAGACAAACTTCTTCCTTTAAAAGCAACCATTTGTTTTCTGTTCTTAGCTGCTTGACATTTGCTCTTTTGTGGTTTATGTGTTGAGGGAATAGGCTCTATGACTACATTAGTCAGTCTAAAAACATTATCTAACAAGGATTGTTTCTACTGGAGGAAAATACTGTTTGATTGAACGGTCTGGGACCATTTCAGCTTTGAGGTCTTCAGACCCCAGTTTTTAACCCCTCTGGAGCATCTTGGCTTGAACTTTGTCTTCCATCACCTCTTCACTGAGGCCATCTTGATGTATTGTGGCTTTAACTCAGCATAAAAAGCTGGAATTCAGTGGTAGGTTTGATTCTACAATCTTAACTGGCCTCCCTCTCGTTCCTTCAGGCATTTTGCAAAACAGATAATGTCTTTTTGCACATGGGAGGAACAACAAAAAACTAATCTTTTTGTATCCATCCAAAGTTCCAGGGATGATCTGCTGAAATTTTCCTCTGGCAGGTAAGGTAAAAGACTTTCATCCAGTTTTTCTTATACAGATGAGTCAATAGGGAGCTCATTATCTTGTAAAAAACAAGAATCTTGTCTGTTCTTGCATTCAAGACATTTAGTACATCAAACATTTTTCAGCCTCCACAGTTCGTCTTTCTTTCCTTCCTTCTCTGTATACTGATGACGAACTGATGTGGGATCTTTATTGTAAATATACATTTATGTGATGATGTCTGCTTACATTCAGATTTTGAATGTAACTGAGAAGAGGGGAAAACCAGAATACTGAACTTTCTTTTACTTAAAGAATCAATGTGTGTAGGATAGGAGAAACCCTGAAAGGCCCTTTCTGTAGCCAGTGTTTGGTTTGTCTGTTCTGGGCTGCCGTAGAGACGTGGCAGCCTCTGTAGAAGACGACCTGCTCCGTCTGTAGATAAAAATGTCTCATTCTGAGGTAGCGAAAACACAACAATACTTATATTCAGGTGATTATACACTAATTAAAACATACCTATCAATATTATATTCAATTTCTGCCAGTAGATCATCCTCAGAGTTACACACTGGACCCTCAAAGATGAACCCAAAACTGCACCTACAATCAGGCTCTTTAAAGTTACATTTCCTCATTTCATATTTGATGTTTTTCACTCTTTGAGTTGAATTTACAACCAAATTCAGAAGCTTAATTTAATTTGACAATATTTCTCAACAAATAGTTCAATAAGAATTCGATCATAAATCACACATTTTCTAAAACCTCCAGCGCTCAGAAGCACTCCTGCAGTGTCCTCAGCTCACACACACTCTGTCAGCTCCTCTCAAATGTGTGTGTGTGTGCGTGTCAGGGCTGTACCGTGTGTGAGGACATCATTAAAGTACTGTGTGTGTGAGTGTGTGTGCGTGCGGTCAGACCAGGTCACCCCTCCCTCCCTCTGTTGCCATCTAGTGGTTAATATTACCAAAATCTAAGCCCTCACACACTCTAAGACACTTTTTTACCTGTAATAGAAACAGATTTTTATAAATGTTTGACGATCTCTTTCACACACACAGTGTGCTTTTTTTCTTTCCAACACACACACACACACACACACACTCTTGCTCTTTGAATCACACACTTTTTGATGCTCTCCCTCTCTTTGAAACACACACTCTTTTTCACAAATTTCCTTTTTCAGAAAAACACACTCTCTTGTTGTCGATACTCAGACTTTCTGTCCACTACAGTAACACACACTCTCTGACACATTTCCCTTTTGACTCTCTTCCTCGCTGTCTTTTCTGACACGCACACACACAGACACACACACCTGGGCCGTGCCTGGCTGGTGTGTGTTTCCAGCGTGCAGCAGCACAGATCGACGCTCAGTTAAAAGCTGTTGGGTGGGTCCTAATTATTTCTTTGAAGACTCGCTTTTCCTCCCCGTCTGAGCTTCTGACGAGCTTCACTTTAAAGAGGCTAGACACACACACACACACACACACACTGTCATGCAACCCGCCTCATCTGTCACATAAGACTTTAATGTTGACTCCAGACTGCAGATTTATGGGAACATAATGCTAAAATGTAGAAGAGTTTATATGGTGGAAGAGCGTGTTGAGTTTGACAAGAAGGAGAAGTTTTCTCTGCACAAAACCGAGCTGCAAACAGTCACCTGTTACATCCAAACTGCAACATTCATTTGATTTTGTTCAAAAGAAACCCCAAATGAGACATTTTTGTTTTTGGTTATGTTTCAGAATTTGCATTTAAAGTCTTTTGTTGGAGGTCAGGGTCTGATCAGTGTCCTCCAGAGGGACTTTGGGCCTTTCAAGAATCCCAAATGGGTTCTTAACTGCACTTTGAGAACCACAAGGACTGATTTATTCTGTACAGGAGTGAACCGATAGAATAGTGTAATGTTTAGTTCAACCAACTTTATTGGTACAACATTTTGAAACCAAAGCATATACATAAACAGAGAAGACTACATGGCCAAAAGTATGTGGACACCTGAGCAATACACCCATATGAGATAGCTTAACATGTGGTTTTGTAAGTGTTCATTAATTTGCTGCTATCACAGCTTCCACTCTTGGACACTGGCTGCAGAGATCCATGAGGTCCAACACTGATCAGGTCTGGCTCGTTCCAGTTCATCCCAAAGGTGTCTGATGGGGTTGAGGTCAGGGTTCTGTGAAGACCAAGTTCTTCCACACCAAACTGAAAACCATTTCTCTACGGAGCTGGCTTTGTGAGCGGGGGACGTTGTTGCAACGGGAAAGGGACAAACACAAACTGCTGGCACAAAGTTGGAAGCTCACTATTGTCTAAGATAAAACTGTATGCTGTAGAATTAAGGTTTTTCTTCAGACCAAAAGTACACAAAAGTATGAAGACAGCAGTTTCCACATACTTTTTGGCTTTGCTAGTTTCTAAATAAAGTGAAAAATACTCAGAATCAGAAAAAGAAAGAAAGAAAATTCTGTGTATTGTATCTAAAATTAAAGAAGAAAGAAAATGTGTGTGAGAGAAAAGTGTCTATCTTTCTCCTGCCAGATGTGCCACAGTGACAGTCTCACCAAGGACAGTTTGACGGAGTAAATACTTTACTTCTAATTTGTTCCAATTTTAGGTATTTTAGAAGAAATTTGACTTCAGTTTCTGTTTCTGCAGGAGACACAATTGTTGCACTTGACTTCAGTCCTCTAGTCTCTTCTATTTTCCCCTCGTCTTCTCCTAAAACACTTAAATTTACAACACAGAGACATGAAGCACATGTAGCTCCCCTGGTTTGTTGGTAATGAAACTGGATCCCAAAGCAGGAGGTTGGTCTCTCTCTCTCTCTTTCTCTCTTTCTCTCTTTCTCTCTAACACACACACACACCTACACACACACACACACACACACACAGCTTTATACTACAGAGGTTCAGTAGCAGGCAGACAGAGACACTATGATTATTAAACACTTAAAATGACAAAAGGAGGTCTGGACCAAGAGGAGGAGGACTGGTGAAAGGTCTGCAGGAGACCTGGAGCAGAGGACCAGAGAGGGTCTGGAGGAGGTTTTGGAAAGGTCTGGTGGCAGGAGGAGGTCCTGGCTTCCACAGAGGAGGCAGGACTTTCTGGCTGTGTGGTGCGCTCCGACACCAGAGGTCCGCTTTAATACCAGAGAAAGAGGAGGAGAGGCCGGTCGACTCTTTTACACTGCTCAGAGAGAGTGAGGGAGACTGCAGTCCACTCCTCCGTCCCGGACACTCGGCATCGAGCATCCATGTGCCAAACGGACTTTTGGATTCAGAGCGCAGAGAGTCTACTCCTGGAAAAGCTTCACTGACTGACTCATCGGCAGGGAGCCGTTTTGAAATCATCCAGCTCTTCTGAATCAGCTGTTTATCTCTCTGAAATAACCTCTGACACTTTGGTTTGGACTCTTCTGACTGCCGGAGTGGAGTGACATCCATTTTCAGACCTCACAAACCACCCGCTCCTCCTCTCAGGGTCCCTCCATCTGCAGGATTTGGGACTGATTTGATCTTTTAAATGTCTTCGTTTCATCCGCGGACTCCTGTTTTCCGCACATGACATGAGCAGCCCCGCTGTCTGCTGCCTGTCGGCGCGTCTTTGTCATTGTAATGTCGGTGTAATCTCCGCGCGTCTGGCTGATCGTCGCTTTGCATTTCAGCGCAAACTGACAAACTGAGGAGGGTTTCTCTCCCGGCTGGAATAAAGACGAGGAGTCTGCGGAAGAAACGTGGATCTGTTTCGCTTCATCCTGTCTTCCTTTGGATTGATTTTATTTATTTATTCCTCCGCATTTATCAAACTCTGTTGCGTTTTCCTGGAGCAAACCCGAGGATGTTGCTCCGCTGCTCGAACCCTCCCTCCTGGTCCACCTGTAGGTTTTTCTTCTGCTTTTTGTTGCTGCTCCAAACGCCCGGGTCCTCCTCTCCGCTAATTACAGGTAAGATTAAAGGGATCATATGGCTTCATAATAACACATCACAACACCCACCGTGCGTAAAATCTACCCAAACCCCCGGTTATTTAGTCTGCCGCGTCTCCGTGCTCCTTCAGTCTGTTTTTACTCTGCGCACCAGAATCAAAGCTGGTCACCAGTAATGTGGTGGTCAACTAAAGGGCTCATTAATCCCCCCGGGTTGGTGCATGGTCACCGGAAGCAAAAAATAAATAAAAAATCAACGTCAACGTCCTTCTTATATTTTGCTCTTAATTTATGGTTTTGCCATACTGTAAAAAAGGTTAAAGAAACATCTCATTAAATTGCATTTCAGTGTTTTTGGAAAGCTTCTCATTATTGTTTCTGGCGGTTCAGGTGACATTCGAGCGCTGCATACTGAAAATAGACCCAGTTTAACCCGAGTTATCCTCCCTGTACCTCCCTGCAAGGAGTCGGTCGCTTCCTCCAGCGGGTTGCACTGGAGAGAAATACCACCAAAATCCACCCTGGGACGCTTGTTATTTGCAGCAGAGCTTGTTATTTACTGAGGTAGTTTTCTGCCTGGCATAAATCCCGATGACATAAGTCAATATTAAAGTAATTTATATCAAACTTTAGGGAATTATACAAGAATTTAGATCTTTAGGATGAATGGTCTGCGTAAAATTATAAGTGATCTTTACTCAAATTGTTGTTTGTGCCACTAGAAGTTATAATTAACCCACTTTTTTAGTTAAAAGCAGGCTGTAAAGTGTAAATCACTTTCCTTAACCAGCTCTGATTTAACAGCTTTTCTCCTGTCTGTCTCTCCCGGTCTGAGCGCGCTCCCTCCCCGGCCTCGCTCCCCCTTTGATAGCCGCATTGCATCATAGGATATCGTTTGTTTGCCCTGCAGCGCAGTTGAGAAATGAGAATAATAGAAACGGAGAGAATGGAAGGTGGATGTGGCGCGCAGGCCGGGCTGCGCCGCCAGCCGCCCGCCATGCATGCGTCTTATCAGCAGCGTGAGGGACAGGACCTGACCTGCCTCCTCAAGGCACTCCGAGGAATGGACAGTCGATTAAATGCATTTGATTATGGTTATTTATTTAGTTTCGGTTCCTCCAGGGGTCATTTGGAGGGCTTCCATGACGACAGTAGTTGCAGTTAATGATAATTGAATTAACAAAAGGAGAAGCTCTTTAATAAAGCTGATTCCTAACAGAGGTCTCTTCAGTTTTAACATTAATATAAAGCTAGAAATACGTTTACGCACATCCGTTCTCTTGGCTGTTATCTCTGCTCCTGAAGCAAACCCGAAGATGGGAATCAGATGGGGGGACAAAACCTGTACCAGATGGGACTCTGTGTATCTGTTGGACAGTGCAGGAAAACATCTGAGAACCAGCTCTGTATCAGCTGAGGAGGCTGCACCATTATGATCCCAGTAGATCAGATTCCTCCACCTGGTATCCAAAATATGCACTGTATGCACATCCTGTCTACTGTCTGCTGAACCACAGACCGGAGGGTTCTGGATAGGTTGAGGTCCAATAGTGGAGCAGATGAGTGTGTCACTGCAGCAGGTGGAGCAGCGGGTACAGAGGTCATCCTGTTGGCTTCTACAGTGATCACCAGGATTTAAATCTGGTCCAGGACACTTGTTGCTCGTCATCCCTGTCTCCTCCTCCTCCTCCTCCTCCTCTCTCTAGTCAGGGGGGCTAGTAACATGGTTTGAATGGGAGAAAAGCTAAATAAAAGTTTCTTAGAGTACATTTTATTGGGCCTGTGGTAAGCCTGTAGTTGCTGTCAGTTTCACCAAAAACCTCCCAGACTTCACTGATTAGTTGGATTACTGTTCTGTAATGGGTTGCCATATCTGACACCTTCAGAATAGCAATAAAAATGCCTTTTGTAACAGAATGTTTCTAGCCACATGCATAATCCTTCATACATTTTTCAGATCACATATTTCTTTCAACAGCCTGGTTGTTCTGAAACAGACAGTGGTGAAATGTAACTCTCCTACTGTACTTATGAACACATTTGAGGTAGTTGTACTTTACTTGAGTATTTCTAGTCAATTAGTATAAATATTGTACTTCTTTCAGAACTTTATTTAACAGCTTTTACTTTACAGATTGACACATAAAACATAATGAGCCGACAAAATATGATGCATTCTTATCTAGTATACTACTCAGCAATCTATAGGGTAGGTAAAATTATCTCTGCCTACAACTAAAACAATAACATGCTACTTACGCCTAAATGCATCATACAGCAACAATATAATAGCACAAGAGGTTTTTTTCTGCCTTTTTCTTTTTAGTACATTTTTCTAATTAAACTTTGACTTGTAATGGAGTATATTCACACAGCAGTATTGCTGCTTTTACTTGAGTGAAGGATCTGAATTCTTCCAGTGCCCCTGGAAACAGAAAATGTGCAGCACGTGCATATTTGAAGCTAATTAGAGACTTTTTGGAGAGGCTGACGTAAGGAAAACGTGTAGGTATTTTACCGTCTTGGAACTGGATCTATCAGAGTCTGATCTACCTTCAGAGTCAGAGAGAGCGACCTCTAATGTAAGAGAGGTCATAGTTTTGAGTCCCCTGCTGTCCTTGAGCTCCAACCGCTGACTCTCTTTCTTCCGCTGTTATGTGTCTTATTTAGTCACCTTCGCTGTTTTTTCTCTTGCAATAGCTTCAAGTTGTCTGTTTTCCTTTTAATTAAAGTTAAAAAAAGAAGGGATATGAGGTAAAGACACTTAGTGGACAGACAGAAGAGGAAGGTATTTTTTCAGACTGAGGACGAGGCCTCAGAGACCGAGCTACCCCCCAGCCCTCCTGCACCCTCCACCCCCTTCCCCGCCCTCACCCCCCACCACTTACAGCCCTGCCAGTTTAATTACACTCGAAGGCTGTAAATTTTACAGTGGTGGTGGAGTCGGTAGGGTTTGTCTGCTCTGCCAGAATCCACAGGCTGGTTTTCGGCTGAACTGAGAGACAAGACGGCACGACTCGCTGCTATAAGGATCTGTTGTTGTAAAGTAAATTCTGAGTTTAATAAAATTTAGACCATTACAGCTCTGATACAAACCTTGCTCACAACATTTAACATCTATGACTCTTGACTTCAGACATCAGCTGAGGTTACTGTCGGTATGCTTTTCAAGCTTTCTCACACTGCACATATGCAGTTTACAGTCATAACGGAGGCAGATTTCCCATCCCAATCAATGAGTCCTTGATTTCAGACAGAAGTTGTTGGCGGAAATGACACCTGCTCTAGCTAGCTAGCAAATTCAGCTGATGTTAGCTCCGTGAGTTGGTTTAAAAACGTGTCTCTTTTCCATCTGACTTCTTTCCAAAAATCTGGAAAGGGGATCTTAAATATGCATTTTCATGGCTATACATTATAATGTGCTAAAATTAGCATTCTCACCAATGAATGAAATAAAGAATTGTACTGCAATAATTAGCTAGTTAGTCCTTGTATTATAAATAAGGAAAAATCTGATTGTTATTTTGTTTTAACATAAGATGGTTTTGGAAAGGCGAAACACCCTCCAAACTGTTTAAATGCCATATATTGCTGCTATTACACTGGCATGCAAACTGCGTTTGATCGGGGGAGGAATTTAGTGAGCGGCCAATTTCAAAATGATTACAACAAACCAAACAGTCAGCAGGTCAAAAGTCAGAGGTCACACTGATAAGAGACTGACCAAATATTGCTCCAACAGGTCATTTTATGTTTACTATGTTTGCTTACAAGACTCAATGTAAAATCTTGGTTTAGTGCTTTACTTCACTCGGCAGTGTAGAAGGTTTTGGTGAAACGTAAGATGAGATAACACTAACATGTTCCCGATGGAGAAACTGCATCATAACAGATTAAGTGAGGCAGAAAATGAACAAATCAAATATATAAACACTTATTATTGGAAAAACAAGCAGATCTGGATAGAACAAGATGAAGCAGCGTTCTAGTTCAGCGTATCATGAAATTTCATGACATCAAAAGCAATTCCTAAAATGTAAATACAATGCTCTGAGCTCCAACTGGGAGAGAAATTCTCTTCCTCCCAGAGATACGATCAGCTGGAGGATACATGACTAGTAACAGGAAGTAGTTTGACACTCAAACAGAGCGGCCAGGGGTGGGGATTTACCCTTACCTCCAATGACCCTGGAACTCCCAGCTCATGACAATCAGTTCCTACCGGGAAGGAAGTTATCTTTTTAGAGAGTCAAAACAAACCTGGCACATGAACAAACAGCTGAGCCTCGGACCGGACTTCGCTTCTTTCTGCCACAGCTCTCCAAGCAGGAGGAACTGCTGTCCATGAGATGTTGACATCTGTCTCCTTCTACCCATAAACCCTTGTGTTTGGGGTCGTTTCCTGTAGTTGGTTCAGATTACATTTGCTCTCGTAACAAACTGACTGACTCACGTTTTTAAGACCTCAGTTTAAATGTCGCTGCCTTTACCTGGACAGACAAACCGAACTGAAAGGAAGAAAACCACCCCAGAACACGCTGGCTTTAAACACACTATAAAATATATGGACAGGGTCAATATTATCAGTCGATACTGACGTATTATTGATATATCAGTATTGGCATATGTTGGCAGTTTATTACAAGATTTAATTACGAGTTGGAAGTTTAGTGGTGGTGACGTTGAAGACGACCATGGTGTAGTTTGTTTGAAGTCAAATGTTAGCAAGTTCGTGCTTCAAAAATCATAAATATTGTTTTTATTTTTAAAGTTTATCTGGAGGAACAAAAGGTGTTAGTATCAAAAACTTTTGCTCACTACGAAGTTTATTTTCTTTAAAAATCCAAAATCCAATGGAAAAATCCTTTTGTCAAAGGAACCAGGGTGATGCCAATATTCCTCTCCTTTTAGCTCTGCTTTGGTCTCCACCAACATATTTTTTAATAAAATATTTGGCACCTTAGCAGCTAGATGCTCCGCTATGTTCACCAGCTTTGTCTTAAACGAAGTTCAGGAGAGTGGTGAGACTGAACCAAAACAGTAAAGACTGAGCTGAGAGACTAGAGCTGGGTGCAGGGTTGGGTGATAATTCTCTGGTTTGTGATTAGTGCAGTTTTAAATAACCTTGGAAGACCCTGTGGTCATGATTCACCTGCTTTCAGTTTACAGTTTATGTATCACGAGCATGTGTGACGCCATGGTCCCAATGGGTGATTGTGTAGATCACGAGGGTTGGTCCGAGTCAAAAGTCCAGACCCATTTTTCATTCTCAGCCCCGCCCTCAGCCTGCATCTCACCTTTGTATCCTTCCCGCTGTCCTTCGCAGGTACCGAGGCCAGCTGTGAGAATGAAGGAGAGGTCCTCCACATCCCCAACATCACCGACAACCCCTGCATCACCTGCGTATGTCTGGTAAGAACCACTAGTTTTGCTTTCTGCATTCTCAAATACGTTGCAGAGCTGGCAGTTCTTCACAGTGCCACTTACTCGCCACCCGCCCTGTGACGTGTAATAGCTGCTTCAGGTTTTCCACTCAGACTGATACGGTAAAATGACCTCTTTAAGCGCTGATAGTGATATTTGTAAAGCTGATTATTGAGCTTTGTGTAGTGTTTCTTATCAGAAGGTTGTGAAAGATTTGTAATGCTACTGCAAAGAGACTTTGAAATTCAAGTTTTGGCGGGATGTCGTGTGAGACATTGTGTTTTATTTGATGGTAAATCCTTTCACTTCTGTAAGCAGCTTAATGTTGTGGTTAAGAAGTAAAGTGCAACCAATTTGTGAGAGTATTTGGATGTTATAGTGCAGCTATTTAGAAAATGCTTCCATGGCACATTAAGTCAGGATTGCAGGTTTTTTGCTTTCCAGCGAGAGCAGGAAAGCACTTCCTCACTGTTTTCTGAGGATTTACAACAAACTTGCAGTGAAACATGAAGTGGGGATTGTTTGTTTTAACAGACATGCCTGTCGTCGTGCTGTCTTGGCTCGGCCCGGCTGTTAAGGCCAGCCTACAAAACGTTAGGGGACGACTCTTTCCTGAAACATGTGCTCTTTGACCCCCGACCCTCGCACCACCCCTCTTTCATCCCGATTGCTGCTGTAGAGGTCTTTGTTTTAGGAGATGAGACTGGACAAACAAGGCTTTTCTGTGTCACCGCCTCGACATCGGCTGAAAGAGGGGTTTTGGTTTTTAAAAGGCGTCACATGACCAGAGTTTATCCTCCAGGAAGCACGTGGGTGTGAACTTGAGGGTCTGTGTGTGTCCAAGTCCACGTGTTTGTGTGCATCCTCAGCTACCATGTTTCTATGGTAGCCCAGAATAGACAAACTAAACACTGGCTCAGAAGGCTGAGCTGTATTCAAATGGTTGCCAACTGCAGCTTTGATCGCTTGATGGCACTAAATCCTACCGATGGTCCTTTCAGTATGCTTGAAATGCACTCGGACAATCTCTTCGCATTAAAAGTAGAGGAAGTACTGTGTGAAAAATGAAAAAGGAGTGTGAGAGACAACTTGTTAATCACTGCTTAAAGCAGCTATGATTGTCAGATTGTTTTTTTTATTTTTTTGTGGTGAGTTGCCATGGTATAATATCTATAATACAGGTGTTCTGATATAAAACATAGTGGAACTGATGGAGGAATATCACAGCAGAAAGTTTATTCGCTTTCCCTTCAGCTATTATTTTTTTATGTCACCTTGTGCATGTTTAAACATATTACTTATACTTCTGTTGCGTTGGCCTCTGATTGGCTGTTGCTGTGAGGCTCCCCTCGGCCTGCAGTCTGACTGAGCCGTCCTCTGTGTTATCAGGCAGACATCAGCCAAAGCCCTGCTGAATGCTATCAGTCATCAGCAGGCAATGGCCGGCCTTTCATCTCTACTTTAACCCCCCCTACACACACATACACACACAAAACCCACACCCTACACACACACACACTCATAAACTTACATACATTCAGGGCTCAAACTTTATTGAATTTGGCCTTTGTTTATCTCCTAAAAACTTTTAAACCCCAGATGCGTGGCTTCCCCCCACTCCCTTCTGGCACAAACTCATATTGGTCAGATACCAGTGTCCAGTTTCAATTCTCAACGGTTACCACGTTTGCTTGGTAAATTTTAAAAGTCAATGAACAAATACTGTATATAGCAAATCATTAAAGGTTTCTACTCTTCAAGTGACACAAATCGATATACAGAGAGTAATTAGCTCTGTTTCTCTGTTTGTTTTACACACATGGAAAGATTTAAATCTGCACTTTACACAGATTTAACCTGCTTGTTTCTAATTTATTTGTTGAAATACGAGAAAAGCTTGTACGGCCGACAAAAACTAAGAATTAATCGTTAAATAACACCTAAAAATGTAATTAATAATGCAAAAAAGTGTTTTTCTGCTGAAGAAACACCTGAAAAGTTTTAATGTTTACTGTTATTATTTTTCTTATACATTAGTGGCTGATCTGAAGTATATTCTGAGCTGTCCTCACCATCAGAGGATCCTGTTTACTCTTCAACTTCCCCGCACAGCAAGAGGAAACTTTTTGATGCTTGGTCACAGAACATCCAGGTTAAAATCGGGTTAAACAAGGCCTTTAGCAAAAAAGTATTTTTCACTTACTGCACTTCCACTCCCTTCATCGCCCAAAAGACGGGCTGTCTATGTCGCCGTGCTGTCTTTAGGGGGTTGGGGAGCCATCAGAGCTCCAGTGTCACTCATACATGGAAGGGTTAGTGGAGGGGGGGGTGGCTCTCCAGTTGGTCCAGAGTACCTGCTAATGGCTCTGTGGGTAGGGACACACACACACAGATACACACAGACACATACAGAAGAGCCATTGTGTGAGTCGGGGTGAGGCAGAGCGCTGTAATGGGGCCAGGAGTGGATGTGGCTGACAGACTGACTGACAGGCCGGTCGCCATGACGATCTGTTATCTTTGAGGGAGTCGGTCCATCTCCGTCATGCTCTTCATCATCCTCGTCTATCTGTCTGTTCATCTCCGTGTCTTTTTCCACTCTCTCATCGGCGCTTCCTCCCCTCGCTCGCCCTCAGATTGGCTCCTTTTTCTCACTCCGTCACTCGTTCTACTTCAGAGTTCCTCTTGCGTGCACCGAAACTTGTAAATGTCTGATATTTTTCCCTTTTGGCATCATGTGGGAATAAGAGCTGGAGTCTGTTTTCGGTGGAATATCAGCCATATGTTGGATAGGGTGGCAACTAACGATTATTTTCATTAATTGATTTGTTTTCTGGTCCAGAAAAGGTCAGGAAATGGTGACAAATGTTGATCACTGTTTCCCAAAGCCCAAGGTGACGTCAACAAATGTCAATACTACAATGACGTCAACAAAAAAAATAAGCTTTCTTCTGTGTCAGAGAACACTGATTGTTCAATTCAATTGAACTTTCCAGAAAGAGATGATAAATTTTCAATTAAATGAAATAAAAATGTGAGAAACGTATGAATCTGTTATCGTCACTCTGACTTTATAACCTCCAAACAGACATTTAATCTGCTGCTGTCATCCTGTCGGGAATTAATATGAGTTTAATATCAGAATGAGCCTCCATTCCCTCATTTCCAGCATTACAAACAACACGCATCAGTGAAGAGGTCAAAGGTCAAAGGTCTGAGGTCGAAGCAGCGTGTTAATCGATCAAACAAACATTCCAGATGAACTACACATAGAAGTTGTGGAGTCGAGGAGTTTTACACTCAGTAGCTATGAATGATCTGAGAGGAAGGTCAAAGGTCGTTTCCTGTCAGAGTCTCAACTCAAACAGTAGCCGATCAATACAGGAGGGGCAAAGTTTACCTGACTACCACCTGATAACACTGAACCAACAGAAGCTCTACTCTATTCTATTTCTTATCGTATATAACATTGAAAATATCAACACAGCTTTAATGATGTATCCCATTTTCCTTCTGTTTCAAAATAAAAGCTAAATCCAGATAAAATGTAAATATTTAAAGTAAAGCCAAAAAATACCAAATATATATATGGCTGAATGTATAGGAAATGTGATGCATCGGACATATAAAATATGTTACTTGAAAACTTAAACACATACCCGCGTCATATCTCCTTTGTGCCTGCATCAGCATTGTGGTTGTCTGCCAGAAGCTGTCATACATTGACTTTTACCATACGCTTTTAAAGATCTCAGTTGTTTTTAACTATATATTTTAACCAGACATCAGACGTCTGGATCTTAAGTTATCAGAGAAACAAGCCGAGCAAACATTAGCAGCAGCTCGGCTTTGTCCACCGTACAGCAACGGACAAACAGTGATTTTTAAGATGAAACTGCTTTACTTATTTAAATTTTTATTTTTTATGTATTTGTTCTCGGGGAGGAGGAAACCTCTACATTTTCTATGTTAAAGTGTGGAATAAGATGAATTTGAAAACCGTAAGGCTACTTTAAAAGGCTGAAACTGGAATTTAAGAACCCAAAATGTATTTTTTATGTTTATCCAAACCATATTTGCAGCCATCCTGCTCAAAGTAAATTCAACAAATCAGCCCTCATGTTTGTGTCCGACCAGCTGGGGGCAACGTCATTTCTCTCCTTTAGTGAAGACATACGTAGACGTTCAGCTCTCCTCCGGCAGAAAAGACGACTTGTTGAAACTGTTTTGGGAAACCGTTTCCCATCGGCGTCTCTCTCCTCCCGTCTCGTCCCTGAGCTACTGTGGCTCCTGCTCTCTGCTGGGGGGTCGTGACCTGTTTGTTTTGGAGGAAAGGTGGAAGGTGGAAGGTCACAGTGGCAAAGAGGGTTAAAGTTTGGGGTGATCGGGAGGGGTGACGTCCAAGGGCTTAAGTGGGCCTTTAAGTTGAGAGCTCCTCTCCTGCGCTGACAGATCTGTCTATCCTTCACCATGACAGAGAGAAAGCATAAAAAGAAAGTGTGTGTGAGTGTGTGTGTGTGTGTGTGGGGGGGGGGCTTTTAATATGGAGGAAACATCTCAAAAAATAGAGGAGAGTGATTGAATTGGAGAGAAAAATGTAAAAAGTGTGAGAGTAAGAAAGAGTACAGGGCATAACATTTAGTGAAGCTTGTGAAACTGGATAGCAAAACAAGAGAAAGAGTTGCAGACAGACGGAGAGAAAGTGATGGATGATGGAATAAAGAGAAGGGCAGCAGTTGAGTGATGATGAGGAGAAGGAGTTAGGAAGAAAAAGCACTGAGGAGGAGAAATAGTGAACACTGTCGCCTCCTAGTGGATGAACAGCCCATTGTCACATAAACGAGGAATTTGTATCCGTTCAAGGAGAAGAAAAAAACCTTTAATGTTGATAAAATGTCAGAGAAATTAGATGTAAACTATTCAATTTTCTTATTATTGTAGTGATCAGTTTGGTCTGAAAATGTATGAAATTGTTCCTGTCGTCTTTTTGCAATTTCTGCCCAAGATTATGATGAGTAGTAAATATATGGAATCTGAAGTAAAAAAGGTAGAAACGTACAAAAAGTTAAAAGATGTTTAAATAACATCAGCATGTATCAATGATACATATTGCCATTACATAAAAAATCTTTTTTGATGTGCAAACGTTAAATTCTTGGCACCACAGAATCTGAAGGAATAAGTATCCATATTGGTATTCAAAACCTCCGTTTTTATGATTTTTCTTCCCAGTGAATGTAGAAAGATTTAAGAGCTCCTCTTTTCTTCTGCTTCTTTCAGGAAACATTTTCTGAAGGTTTATGGACCCAGAAAGATTCCTCCCCGGTTATTTAAACTGACAGTAAAGTGCAGTCACATGCTGAGTTTTATCTTCTGCACTTTACTGATCTGAGTTTGATATTTCCAACATATCTTCTCACCAAAAACAACTTTATTTATTATTTATTTTTAATCTGTGGTTTCACGTAGATGTCAAAAGCAGACAAAATAAGCATATGATGTACAGTGAAGAGTTAAAGCTCATAAAATTGGTCAATAATGGAATTACTGTAGTTGACCTTAACCTTCAATAATTAGGTTCGAAATGATTTGATTGAACTGATTGAATTTAAAATGCTGCGGATACAATCTGATTACGTTTTAAGATATTTTTGTCCCACACACCGAAACCTTGTGTCTCTGTGATGCTCAGCAGCTCACTACATGTGTTCTCATACTTTATCATTGTCGGGTGAAAACCTTTTAACTACAAATTTTCAGCTTTCCACCAGATTATTATTAATAAGACTGCTACTTTTTGTGGTGAAGTTCAAATAAATAAATAAAAACACACTGAATCTGGACAGGTCGAACGCACTAATTAATTCACTTTGAGTTGAGATCCTTGTATCTCCATACAGTAACACACACAAACACAAAGATCACACACACTTTATCTTTGTCTGACACACACACTTACGAGCATACCAATGCTCTTTATCCCTTTTGTGTGTGTGTGTGTTGGGGGGGTCGTCACCCTCAGCGACAGACAGCCGTTCGGTTGGCCAGCCTTGGTGCCGCGGTGGTATGTCGAGTGTTTATAAGGCGTGGTGACCCATTGTGACCTTTGACCCCGAGACAAGAAGGGTGGGAGGGGGTGGGAGGGGTCCTATGTACTAACACCACTTTGTGCTAATGGATAACAGAGAGAGAGAGAGAGAGAGAGAAGGACATGACCTTGGCGACCAAACTGCCCGAGGTTCTTTAAAGGACCACTCCAGTGTTTTTTTGTACTTTACATAACATAGCATTATAGACATCATGCATTCATTGGTTTCTGTTTCATTAGTGTTACAGTATGAGGTAATGCAGTTGAGACTTTACAAACTAGTTTGCGTCATAATAATTAAACTTTAAGAAGCAGTAATGCAGACTTGATGTTCTCTGTGTTGGACGACGACAGAACTCAAGCAAGTTTCAAAATTCATAGATTTATTATATTCAGGGCTCATAGGCCAAAGTGGCCTACCAAATCTTCTTTTTTTTCTTAATATAATTATTGTCATTTTCTTCCATATACACACGCACCGATATCGGATAAAGTACAAATAAAATTGTGTATGTTTACAATGTCCTTTCAGGAAAAGCCTACATTTCCACCTTTAATGATATTTATTTAAGGCTCTCAGAGCTGACACTTTGCACAGGAAGGCAGTAAATTAAAGGAACTTGGGATCCTAGAAACATTTTGCATCTTAACAATACAAATAGGCCCACCATTAAGTTTCAGCTTTGGCCCTCCGAGGGAAAAAGTTTGGGAACCCCTGATTTACAGAATTGAATGACAGCCTGGAGAAAAAAATACACAAATCGTGCTTACTGGTATGGTCCTTTAAAACCCAGGAACTACACAGTCAGAGACTTCCACGCATTGTCAAGAACCAATGAATTTTAGACAAATTAGATAAATTAAAAATTGACAATTTTGTAAGCAAATTAAATCTGTGAAGAGACTACAGCATTGTTTGATATAATTTACTGTTGTGCAAAAGCTTTTTTGTTAGGGTTTGTTTTCTTGCATAGTCCATAGTAGTATGAATTTGCAATGAATCATCTAATATAAAGTTACGTTCGAGCCTTTGGTTCTTTTGCTCACTCACTCTTGCTTTCGCTCCTTTTGGGGGAAATTGGCAGCTGTCAGGTCAACATCGGTAACATCATAATAAATCCTGACATTTACACTGCAACGAGCGCTTGCATGTCATCAGAATGATGCTATTAACATGTTGTAGCAGCATGAGGCTTGTGTTTGACCGGTCAGTAATGTTCCACACTGCACACTCTAACCTGATAGTTCACGGACCATCGGAAAGTCCAACCTCAGGAACTTCAGGAACCAAAACTTAATTCCTGTGGTTGAAATGCAGGTACAGTTCCAGAGTTCCTGGAAGGGTTCCTGCTTGCTGAAGGGCAGATTGTTACCGATAAGTGGATACACCAATCTATTAATCATCTCTTCTTCTCTTCCTGTTTCCATCTTACTGTCAACAATGTTGCACTGTTTGTTCTGATGGTTCAACCAGGACAGTGTTGGAAATGCTCCAACAGCCGGTCGCCTTCACTTCAGTGTTTTGTTGCCTCAAGGAAAACTAGCCCTCTAGCAGTCATTAGAAAAACAATTATCAATCAATCAGTTATATTATAGAAATAATTAAAAACTAAACATACCAACAACTTAGAGACAGTTATATATAAACTACTACTACTAAACTATTATATAATAGAAACAGCTCTACCTGAGCCTTTGTAGTTCCTGTTGCTTAAAGATGAAATTCATGTGACACTAACTGCTCTACTTGCCTGTTTCACAACATTTTGCAGCTTCTTCCTGTGCTGTTCATTCAACCAGACTCTCACCTCTGTGGTCTGGGTCCCCCTTGCCCTTCTTTTATTTATAAGCAGGCGTGTGATGGATGGTCCTGTGGTCAGTCGATCCTGTGGGTGGTTAATCCCACAAGTGTAGCAGAGATCCAAAATCTAATCCAGTTGGATTGAGAGACAGGTTTTTGTGATTTTAGACGTTCTAACACCTGAATTTGTCCTTACACAGAAAGTCATGCAGCCTGATACAACCTTTTTGTGTTCACATTAAAAGTTTCTGGTAGATTTCTGGCTGAAGCTGAATGTGCACAAGAAGATTCAGTTGTTTTTCTCTGTCCTTTATCAAATTTATTTTCCCACTTGCTTATTTTATTTTCTCTATCCCCTCTTTCCATCTCTGTCCCTCTTCCTCTGTCATGACTTCATCTGTCCTCAGTGTGGTTGGGGTTTAGTTGGAGCACTGCTGCTATATTAAACCACCCCGATTTATTTTCGCCCTCCTTTGATCCGTCCTCGTTAGAGCCGCCTGCCGCAGTGCCACAGGGCCATGAGACCCGCCAGCCTGCACTTTATAAACCCTTGCAGTGTGTAAAATAAAACACACACACAGCGTGTGGATAAAATCAGCAATAAAAGCTGGGTGTGAAAGTCGAGTGGATTAAACAAGCGCAGATTCTGTCCAGTCCCACGGTGCAGTTGGTGGTGATGACGGATACAATGTGCAGTGTTTGTGAAGGTGGCAGGAGGATTGTTGAGTTGGTGTGAAAATTCACAGCTTAACTGTGAAGATTGAGTCACTTTCTACTTAGAAACTCAAGCACAGAGGCAGTGTATCAGGTGAAAACTGTTTCAAGGCCAATTTTGGTGATTTTCTTCAATGTTAGCAGCGTGGTTCAAGGGTTGACAGTATCAACAAATACTGGATTAATGGCGTCGAATTAATTGCAAATCACCCCCCTAAGCAGTGGTGTAGTGGTGCCTAAAGAAGTGGGTATACTCTTAATTAGTAGATTAGTAATTAGAAGTATTTGTTATTCCATCCATTCATGGAAATTGTGCCTTCACCATCCTAGGACAAAACATTCAGCTTGCAGAACACTGCTGAATGATGCACATCAGAGTGGATTTAGAGTGCAGACTTTAAAATAAGTACTCCAAATACCTGCATATACTCACTAAGGATGAATTGCAATAACTTTAGTGATCTGACTTTTCATCCAGCGCCACCATCAGTCAAGATTTGTATTTGTCCAATACTTCGGTTTATGACCAAATACCTGCAAAAATTGTCAATCAAAGCACAACCACACAGTCCCAAGAAAGCAAATTATCTGTTTTTGAGTGTTAAACTCAAATTAAATAATGAATATTACCTTCCTTCCTTTGTGCCTTTAACTTCAACTGAAGACTAACTCCCTCCACTCTGGGTAAAATACAGCTGCCAGATAAAGTCTAAAATTCATGGGGGCCAAACTAAAACAAGACTTTGTGTCTTAGTTCACAAAAAACTTCCTTTTTAACTTATTCTGGGGAAAATAATGAAGTAAAGGTATCTAGAAAATTTTAACTAAATGAAAATTGAGTATTGAGTTGTGTTGTTAACAATGTCATACAGTACGTTGGAAAATATGACACGCACAAATTGACTCTCTCCTCCTGTCCTCTCCCCCTTTCTCCCCTCTGTCCCCCCCCCCCGCCGCTCTCTCCCTGCTGCACGGAGGGGAAGGCAGACTGTAAACAGCGGAGAAGATGTCCCACTCGGTCCTGCTGAGGAACTCGTGCCTGGTGGTGAACAACAGACTGGAGCCTGCTGTGAGAGGTGTAAAGGTAAGACAGAACGGTGGACGGAAGGAGCAGAGCCAGAGCAAGAGGACTGTGGAAACCCTATAAAAATCTTAATATTCCATAAGTTAAAAGAGTTTTAAAGGTGCAAGCCTTTCACTCGCCCTCCCGGATTATCCTAACTGACCCCTCCAGGGGAGGAAAACAGTTTGGGTGCTTCTTTGACGAGCAGGACGTGACAGTGCTTCTTCTAACATTTTTGTCACTTTTTATTAAAGTGTTTTTTTCAAGCATGAATATTGCAGCAGTAAACCGTAATAATGATGAACCCGGTATGGGTTTAATTATAGGGACAACTGAGCTGCACTGGCATTAAGTAGGAGACTGTATAACACCAGCGTAACAAAAAACATAGGAGAATGCTAACCAAGAAGCCTCTCCCACACCACACAACACCACACACAGCACACGCTTCAGGAACGCAAACTTTAAGTGAGCAGTACCCTAAAGCGGCCCAGGCCTAAATAGTGACCTGTGGAGTAAAGATATATTATTCTACCCTCACATAACTAGCATCTCTCTCTCTCTCTTCTGCACTCCTTCTCCTCTCTCCCGAAGAAAATCCTCGGACCCCCCTTTCCTCTCTCTCGCTCCTCTCCCTCTCTCTCTCAAGTCTTCTCTCTCTCTCTCACACACACTCACCACACCTCACGACACCACAACACCCACACAAACACACCCCACACACCACACACGACACACAGCTTGCAGTGCGTGAGACCAGTGCGGCTTGCTAAAAGGGGTTACCGATGTGGTTTTTACGGGCCAAAAAACAGAAATACAAGTCGCTTTTAGTGAGCCAGAAACTCTCCAATATACCTTCATCTCTTAGATCCTCATCCTGTCCTCACATAGGCTCTACTTACTGTAGAACTGTAGGTTTATATATTCGTCTATATGCGTCTGAGAACCCTAACTCCCAAACCTAACATTAAAATGAATGATCCTAATCAAACTGAACAGTCTTAAACTATACCAAGGCTCTATGGGGTTAAACAGAACATGTTTAGAACAGAAACAAGGAAGCAACTCTCACATGTGGGGTTCAGTGCTGCATCTTGTCATATTTACAGGTGGTCGTGCATTTTAAATATATGCAAGTCAAATGAATTTGTCTGTGTGAGCTAAAGCAGTGAAGGGATGTTGAAAATACATCAAGCACTCAGTGGTGTCTAATCCTGATTGTAATCTTAACCCTGAAGTTAAAGTCTAACCATACATTGTTAAAAAAAAAAAANNACAGTGCAGTGTAAGATATTAATCAAATCCTCAAATTTGATTGAATAAAAGGCAACGGCAAACGGAAAACTTTAAAAGAACTGAGAGCTGCAGCCCACCGGCAGTTTTCTGGGCGTTTGTTCCAGATATGTGATATGTGGTGCATAAAAACTGAAAGCTGCCTCTCCATATTTAACTCTAGAGACAGTAAGCAGACCTGTCCCAGACGACCTGAGCGGTGCAGATGGTTTTTAACGTAGCACAAGTTCCAAAATGTAATGTTACTATCTGTAAGCAGACACATTTTTACCATCCACTGTTTAGATCTTGGTGCTTTTTAACTCTATATTTGAACCTAATGAAGGATTTCAGTCATTTTCAAGGCTGAAAATAGTTTTTATGAAATATTCTTTCTAGCCAGTAGAGGAGCTGCATTTTCTGTCATTTCTATGTTGGCTCCATCACTCAATAAATTCAAACTGTGAATCTCCTTAAACGGAGTGAGGAGCTACTAAAACGTGCTCACTTTGCATGTTCCTGCTCTTTCTGTGCTCATGAAGCTATGTGGTTATATGTGGTTCTATAGAAATATAAGAACACACACACACACATACACACCTCCCAGCTGTCAGCAGGGGCGCGGCCCTTTTGTTTGTGGTTCAGTGTTTTACGATGCAGCACTTCGTTAGGAGCGATGGAACAAGCTCAACCCGGACATGGAAAGCCCCTCATCGCCACAGAAATAATGTTAGTTTTCTATTGTACGGTTGACTGGTGGCCACTGTGACCATATTTAGGACTCCTCTGTGTCTTTTGGTTTGGAATACACCCCAACTCCTATATGTCATATCACCGTTCTTCACAATTTTATGAAATCATACACGCAGTTAAATAGACCCTCAGCCAGACTCGGTCCGTTTATTGGGAACAATTTACTTTTGGAACGGCCTTAATTAACCAGTTTGTTATTTAGGAGTTATACTAAAACTATATATATACTATATATTATAACCAACCTTTGGACTCCAAAACTGGACCATAATTTGAACAATGTGTCTATTTTTTCTTGAAGAGGTTCCCCTATCAATGATGGAGAACCAGAGGAAAGAAGATGTGTTGTCATATCAATCATCATTAGTGAGGACTGAGTGTATGAACAGGATATGAGTCTCTGAGGGATCTCTCGCCTTATCATCTGATCTTTTTCTCTAAGATACTAGATGTCCTCTTCTGCAGTGATACAGTATCAGAGGGTTTGGTTTACACTGAGGAAAGCAGATCAATGGCTGTGATCAGGTTTCATTGTATGGAAAGATAAACATTGATCTGAGACCACTTACGGTAAATGGGATGAAATGAATAGGCTATTCATTTAGTGCTGAGTGGACGGGTCAGTGGGTGTGGAGTTACTGAGCAGCTTGTTACATCCAAACACACTGAATTACCTGATACTAAAATTCTCCAGTTTTGACCGGGAACAATCCCAGCAAAGCCACACACCTTCAACGTTTAATTATTAGGTCTTAGCACTAATCTCAGTTATGTAAGAAAAACACCACCAG